GGGGAGGGAGAGAGATAAATGTCCTAGAAATACAAGATGCTTAATTAAGATGGTAGGGATTTAATGGGTGGTTGTAAAAAATGACCTTCTGTATCTTTCCTTGCTACAAACCACAGGCCTAAATCTGGGTCTTTTACTTCAGATTGATATATCATTTCTATTTGAGGGAGCAGTGGATAGTGATTGTCCAAAAAGATGGAATTCATTTTTTAAAATGTAAACGATAATGTATAATGCATCAAAGCAGGGGAAAGTAGATGTTCAAATCTTACATGCTTTCCGTATTAATTGATTCATTTTTCCTTTATCTTGATCTCTTGTGTACCCAACCCAGGCTGCAATATAGAAAGTGATCGTATTTCTCTGGTTGAATGGTAGACGAACATCAATGATTTATCAATTTTAAAATACAGGAGCTTCCTCAGCAAAAAAAAAAAAAGAAAAAAAGACAGAGCGAGATGTAGACACAAAAGTACTTATAGAAAGATGTAGATGGATAGCGGATGAGAGTGAGAATAATTATAACAATAAACAATAAACACCCACAAACAATATATATGCATAAAAAGATCAAAGTAGAAAGAAAGAGAAAAAGACAAGGAGGAAAAGAAGAAAAAGAAGAAGAAGAAGAAGAAGAAGAAGAAGAAGAAGAAGAAGAAGAAGAAGAAGAAGAAGAAGAAGAAGAAGAAGAAGAAGAGGAAGAAATCATTACACAACACCTCAGTAAATCCGTGGCCAGTCGAAGGCAACAGTACAGACCACCCCGACCTTGAGGGTCAAAGAAGACACAAACGTCCAACCAGTTGTCACAAACAGTATCCCTTCCAGTGCACGGACAGAAGTTGGCAGTCACGAAATAAGTTCAGGATCACATGATAGATCTATCTCTTGAATACGCGAGTTGAAGTTATAAATTGACTACAAACAGCAACAACACACTTAGTAAGAAGCAAACAAACGGAAGGTTTTGGCAAGGAGAGTAACCCTGCACCCGCCACAAGCAACCACAGTCTTACCACAACGAAACAAGGGACGATGTTCTCTCTCCCACAGTGATTTGCTACATACATCTTGGGGGGGACTACACACCCCCAGCCGAAGGTGAGTGCTTTTGGACGCCAGGAGAGTGAGAGAGCGAGTTAAAAAAAAGTCTCACAAAAGATGAATGGAAATGAGAGAGAGTATTGAGAGAGAGAGAGAGAGAGAGAGAGGGAGGGAGAGAGAGAGAACTGAGCCAGGTCGTCGGGCACCCCTTTCGTTTCTGGACGAAGCAGCAACGTTTTCTTTTAACCACACCACCGCCACCACCCCCAGCCCACCCGTCCACCACGTCTCCTCATTTTCCCCCTTTCACATCTTCTTCTTCATAATTTCCTTCCCCTTCTCACTGCTTACCTTCAGACCGGAGACTTGGCCGCTCTCCTTCTTCGCCCCTGCCTGCACAATGACCGTACCACCGGCTCGGGGGCAGCAAGGTTTTCTTTCTTTCAAAACATGAAACAGGTGTGTTTTGTACTGGTTTGAGCTTTGTGCTGGCTTGAGTTTACACTCCTTAAAGGTGATAAAGGCAACCATCAAGTCAGTGCTGCCAGTTGCTACTTTCATTTTATTACCACATCATACCAACAAACTCCAGCACCACATCAAAGTCTACAAAAATACTACTTGCAAATCATGATCACCAACACACAGGAGGTCACTCCACCATTCGCAAATCTGAAAAAAAAAAACAACAGTAAAAAAAAAAACAACAACAACAACAAATAACAAAAGACTATGACCCCAAAGCAACAATAACAGCAATAACAACAAAACGACTACAAGAAAAACAACAACGACTACGCTATCAACAGCGCAGACTTCCAGACAACAATACTGGCGATCAAAAGAAAGGTACCCCTTTCTGATTGCGTAAAAATCTAGTTTTGAGTCGATACGCTATTTCTTTCATGTGAGTCATACTAAGTAGTCTGAAAAGTAGGTCATGTTATAGAAATAACATTTTGGTGCTTCAATTAGATTTAGAGTTCACCGCACCAGCACCCGAAAAAATATAAAATTGGCATCTTTCCCCAACTACGTGGCAGATTTTTTTTAAATTCTTGTTTTTAGAAAATGAAAAAAAAATCTCTGTTAATATTTTTTTTCAAAACACACATTAACAGTTAATCATTGCCACCCAAGAAAGACGGTAGGTGTAACTCAAATCAGAGAAATCTTCCCAACTCAATGTGGCGCAGTTGTTTGACGAACTTGGCCTCACGTTTCTGCTGTTGTCAGGACAGTCAACGTCAACAGAAAACATGACCAACTTTTTAGACTGCTTGTATTACTTACTTTAAAGGAAAGATGTAAAGACTCAAAAGTCTGGGTCTTTTATCAGATCAAAAAGTGATACCTTTTTTTTTAGATCGCCAGTAGCGGATTAGCCGAAGCAGAAATCACAAGCAACCTTTCTACTGGGGCTCCCAGGTTTGAAACGCCTGCAGTTGTTGGTCCAAGCACAGATATTAACAGGCACATTGGTCACCAGCTCTCTGGTAGAAATACTCCCTATAGATCGGAAACTGGCATTCCTCTGTACTGGGTTACTGGGCAGAAAAAAAGAAAGAGAAAGAGAGAGAAAGAGGGAGAGAGAGAGAGAGAGAGAGAGAGAGAGA